ATACCCCCCTTGGGTGCACGCACCCCACTTTGGAGACCACTGGTTTAAACAACCAGCTTCCTCCTTTTTTAGCGCTGTTCGCATTTTTGACCCCAATAAGGTGCCTTTTCTGAGTTTTGATCCTCAACTACTGAAATCAATCCCTAAACAGCAGAAAGTGCACAACAAGGAACATGCTGCTTACATGAACTTTGTCAAAGAGTGCTGGATGCCTTTGACTGTCACCATTTTGGGAATCTGTTTCTGATTGGTTTTCACTTTCCAAATCTCTACCACTTTCTACATCTCAAACACTGCCAACAAATTCAGTGGATACAGAACGTGCGATCTCAGTGTATGGACACGTGTTCACACTACAGAGACAAAGGATGTCAGCTGCAACTGCTGATGGATGCTGCATGCTGGCGTCTAACAACTAACATGAATTGTTTCTATCAAGGTTAGCATCAGTTAGTGTTACTAAAATTTTTGGTAGGGGTGTCTTACTGCGAAAAGATCACGGAATTGGCTCTGCAGGCTGTGAGCTGCTCACAACAATCCCTTTGTTTCACTGTAATTTAGGTATGTCCCTACAAATAGTCCATCAACGCAGGACAGAGGAAGTTTTGTCAAAAGCTGTAGAATGCTTCTGAACTTCAGAAGGTCCTTGCCTTGGACCTGTCTGGAATCTCTGGCTGATTTCTCTCTGCTGGTTCCCAGCACCCAAGGCGATGTACCTGGGGAGATGGGAGACACTACCAGAGTTTTAGTTCCTTCAGTGTGTGAGTTTTGGGTTTAGACAACACTTTGGGTAGGCTCAATTTTCTACGTTTTATTATTCCAAAATAACATTAGGCATCTATAGGGTTTTCCTCTCAAATGCCCACTTACCCGCCAAACAATTTATCCATCAAAATAGCAACATGCAATAAATGGTTACTTGGTTTTTAGGCTTTTACATGAGCTGTTGGGCAAGAGCCCCAAATCACAATGAACCTTGATACAGTTGCCTTTTACTGTTTGCTCACTCCCTCTCCAATGACTTGAAGAACCTCTCTCCACAGAAAAGATTAATTTAGAGACTGTTCAGACATATTGTAAGAGAACAGAAAATGGCTGATTTTGACTTAAGGACCCAGCCCTTCAGTGAAAATACTGCCACGAGGACAGACTGGTTCTCATTTCACCCTATCACACTGTTGTGTACCTGCACAGAATCCTTATTTTTTTGATGTAGGACCACACTGACAAACCTATGTCCCTGTGTGGGTTTGTCCTTTCAACCATGGTTATATATCAGTGTAGTCCGAGACTTATGTCATTTCTCAAATGGACACTTCTGGATAATTTCCAAAACACTGCACTGAGGGATAGACTTCTGCAATTTTCCCCAAGTATAAAACAGAAGTTTCAAAATTGTAGAACACAGTTCAACAAGACAAGAAGTAAAATGACCCCAGTTCAAGTCTCCTCAGCCAACTGGTATCACCAGCAACCCTGAATGGTTGTTGCGTGTATATGAGGGATCACAAGCAGCACAAGCTCAACCATTCAAAGCAGTATTTTTCTCCATTGCTGTTTCTGCTTAGCTAGAGACAGTGAATAGTTAACTCTTATAAATGGTATACTCCTCTAAATTCTTAAAAAGTTAATGTAGATACAACGGAGTCAAGAACAAAGTACCTAGAGTTAAAAAAGCTTACAATTTATTTGTGCGTGCTATTTTGTCACTAAGAGCATTTTACTTACCAACTTAAATGTCAATGTTTTCAAGGCCCTGGGATCCTCTACTATCTTCTGTAAATTAGCAGCAACTGCAAAACAAAGCATGAAAAATGGTGTACACAGAAAACCACAGTCAATATATTTCCACTTCCAATGCTCTGGATCAGAACAGATTAATAAATTCCACATGCCCTGTGGTAAAATACTATTGAAATGGTAACATTACTATGGCCAGGTAGCATGCTACAATTACTGTAACTTTGTACTTTTCTGGTAGACGTGTACTAGGTACCTCATAGCCTAAAATCTAGTTTCTAAGGTGTCTGGGTGAGCAAAAGGAATGAAGGAATGTTTCTTGTACAGGTACTGACAGTTTTTCATTCAGCTAGCTCTTTGCCAGATCACTGCTAAATCTCTCTCCCCCCTCACCCCCTGGTAATTATACATGCTATATAGGGAAATATTACATGCAATGACCATGGAAGAGTAAGGCATTCAAAGAGTGCAGGAAAATTTGTTAGCCAGTAAGACCAAATGCCAAATAACCTAACAATTTCATACCTGGAAAAGACAAATATTTTGAAAGAACATACTCTACATGTGTACATGCGTAAAAATAAAATCTGATTGTTCACTAATTTAAAACAAGTAACTTAACTCACAAACAGAAACCAAGACTGCAATCAGTATTTTCAACCATGCAACAAAGAACTATATGCTCTTAACAGGAATAACAGCAAGCTAGCACTCCATTCTTAAAAACAGGGGAGGACAAAAACCAGTAAATTTCTATCAGAATACTTGACTCCTTTTTAACAGCCTACTTTGACACTATTTGCAATGTTAATCCTGACAGATAAGTGTGACTGTTTTCAAATTCACTGGCTTGTTAAACTTGTTCTGCATAACCTGCACACTACAAAATGAATCACTGTCACCTTCAGCTCAAGACTGCTGAGAGTGGGTATCATTGCTAAGACATCATCATGAGAAAAAGACTGCTTGCTGCAGAATTTTATCAAAACACTCGTAAATGAAATGCAACAAGAGCATTCAAGTTGTAAAGACACTGGACAGCCTGGCACAGCAAAATTGAGAACTAAGAAATGGTAACGTTTTCCTGCATGCTTCCTGGTTGAGGACTATATAGTAGGAGTAGAGAGCACACAACAGTGAACTAGACTGTACGTTAATGCTTCTTTAAACCCTTAATCTCCCCCAATTAACTACATTTTTAAATGACATGCTGCTAACTGAGGAAACAGGAATCTAACAATTTCTAATTAAGAAGCTCCAAAATCGACCCTGGCATAAATGAGCATGGGTCATTTACTACACATTCCAAGATGGAATTTACCTTTAAATGAGGAACTATATCACAATCCAAGAAATAGACATTTTAGGCTACAACTTCTATGAAACAATGCCAACCATGAACAATATTTGGGTTTTGTTTCCACTTTTTGTGTGATTACCCTTTTTGGAAAGTTTCCAATTAGCCTGCACAGATTCATAAAACTATATAAATGAAACAAATTAAGTGGCATTTTAAATGCCTTTTCCTTTTAACATCCTAATATCACAAATAATAATATTTGCTCAAGACATCACCTACAGCTTTTATTTTAATTATTTTAGTGGAGACCTCACTAATCCGGCCAACAGATCAATATTGCAGGGAGTTCTGTTCACCTTTTAGCTAGTCAAATTGTCGTGCACATGTGGATACACAGCTATTTGTTACAATAATACATACACAAGGTAAAGATATGCCAGAAAGGAACATGTCTCTAGGGAGAAAAACCTTTGGTTCTTGGATCCTACAGATGTTTACACCTATTGTCCTGTGGCTCATTCCAGGGATAAGCCTGTGGGGGGCAAGGAAGGGGTGTGCTCCTCTCTTGTTTAGTTTGTTTCGGGTTTTGACTTAGAACAATCAGGATCACCTTAAATAAGACATATGTTTACAATCATAATGTATCAATTGTTTGCAGCTTATTTGAACTCCACTGAAATATTTTATTTTAAAATTAAAGGTGGGAATTTATTTAAAAATTAAAGCTGGTGGAAATTAGCTGCATTAACTAAAACCATTTTAATTTGCCTGTTTTTTCAAAGACAACAATAAAAGCTCAGGTTCATTTTTAATTTCTCTCCACTGAGATAGATACTAACTGACATTACCCAAGCTAACATTGACTATTTGCTGACTTACCAGAGTTAATTTCTATTCTGCTCCTACTGTTCCAGGTTCTGTTGTTCCTCTAAGACACAGTTATTTTTCCTGCACTGTCACGTACAATACCCCATTATCACTAAACTTTGCACTGCATTGTCATGGAGGAGGAAGTGGCACTGGTCCCCTGGCAATCTGAATGCTAGCTCCTAAGAATTCTGATCTCCAGATGCTGATCCCACATTTCAACTGTTAGAAATTTGAAGTCTTCTTCTATCCATCTCAAAGCAAAACCCGCCTCCCCCAAAAAACAACCAGCAAAAATATACCATGTTACTTATCCTAATAGCTCAGTTACCTTCAATTGATTTTATCTTACTTTTGTGTAAAAGTGCTGTAAGTATTGGTTTTATCTGTGCATTTGCCAATTTCACAAACACAAGTTTACTTCACCAGCAAGTTTACTGAAGAAAGCAGATATTTAAAAGTCTAAGGAGCAAGCACATGAAGTACATTTGCTGCACTTCCCTGACGTGTTATGACTACAGTATGATTATTTAATCTAAGTGAGGATTAGGAGGAATTATGGAAATAAAACCAGATGTTTTGAAGCACTATTCTGTAGAATCTAGGAAGCACACCCATTGAAAAGCCATAACAAGAAACATGAAGTTTACACAAAAACTTCTAGTTCATCTCACAAAGGCAGCCTCTAAATTTTGCTAAAGGTATGTCTTCTGCATTCTCTCCACATGCTGTATTTGTTTTTCTGCTTCATGGATTTTATTTTAGACTAGCACTTGAGCGATGCCTATTTGCATTCTGCAATGTTTGCGTTTATGGCCTTTTACCTAAAGATACATCAGAGAGAACAAAAATGAGTATTCCAGAAAAGTGTCATCCGCTATGGTCCCCCAGCTACTTACAGAGACTTCATCTTTTCCCTTGGCTACAAGTATTGAGTGATCAGTATCAATTACTGATCAATTACTGGGCGGGTTTTGCTTTGAGATGGATAGAAGAAGACTTCAA